GTCCTGCTCACGAGATTGGATGGAGGACGTTGATTTTCTTGAGGTGTCATTCTTTTCATTACCAGACCGTGCTCCCTTGTTTGACCGACACGTTTTGGGGTCCTCGGGGCGAGGATCATTCTTTGTAYGCGTCAAATCAACAGGGGGGACGATCTGTGTGGGCGGCGCCATGGGCATCCACGACTACATCATTGCCAAGATCTGATCGACCTTTTCTTGCATCGCTAGTAATTGAACGGGGTCGACTGTGGCTTGTGGCTGCAGTTGCTGGGTTTCATGGTGCGGAAGGCTGCGATGGGAACCGGATCCCCAAGATGGGGATCAGTCTGCGGATCTTTCGGAGTGGTTTCTCGGCATCTTGATTGATTCTTGAATGCGCAGTGAGAAAGAGATTTTAGGGAAGGCTTTTTGTGTGTTTTCTACAGACAGCGCCAATCTGATGTTGCTCGATCCGAGGTGGTGCATGAACCAAGGTTGCAGTCAGATAGTCCTTGCCAACAAGGCGGAGCCGAGGTGGAAGGATGGGGCTACGCTTCAAGACCTGTGATCAAGAAAGGAAGTTAGAGGCCCGGGGAGTTATCCCTGGGTAGGCACTCCGACGCTCAAGTCCGTAGAAGGTGGTGGATGGTCAGGCCGAGCAATGAGGGTGCTAGTTCGAGCAAGATAACAGTATGGGTGCTAGAAGTTAGAATCCCTTACCTTGAGCGGGAGATACCTTTTTATAGTCAAAGGTTCGTGTCCTGGTTGGATTAGGCTTCCGGGGTTGCCAGGATAAGGTTAACCGCCGAGGCCTTTGGGATAGAGTCCTAATCCCTAGCAGAGTTGTCCTCATCCCTTCTCTTGTTCTTGGTCGTGCTTATCTATGTGACGTGGGGCTGACATGGCTAAGAGGATAAAGTGGGGGGCTATGGAGATAGCGTAGCGTGGTCATGGCTGCGGAGTCGGTGTATGCCACGGAACTGGCCGGGTGATACCAACGTGGCCGAAGTAACTGAGTGATGACTGAGCATCCACATGGCATTTAAGGCCAGCTCAACAATGACCCAAATAAATATAATATAAGAGAATTTTTTATTCGCATTTTTTGTAGTTGAGATTACCTAATGTGTCCTTATTTGAACAATATGAATTGGGGTTTGGGGAGTTTCCATGGAGAATATGGTAATTAAAGTGGAGTTGCCTGAAAAACCAATGTTGGATTTACGACCTAATACTCAAGCACTYAACTTCTTTTTTCTTGGGGTTTTCATGATGGTTTTCTTACATTTATTTTTGTCTTCTTATGTAAAAGCATATATTATGGACTGTGCAATCTGAAGCAAACACTTGACTACCATTAACTGGGTTTTCTTTTTCTTCTATGGATCGAAGATTTAATGCTTACTCTCAAACTGACTTTGTTTTTGTCAATGGTTTTTGTGCTACTACCAAAAGATTGTGTGAAGGGTTGAAATGTACGTTTGGTTTTCCCAAGTGGTAGTAACCGCAAAATGTTTATAAATTTGATTCAATATCGGTGGTTCTCTTTGAAAATTTGAAGGTGTTGAATGGTGAAATAGTCTTTGTATTAATTCTATCAAACATAACTGAGTATTATTCTTGCAAGGGAGGTGTAAGTATTTATTTTTCCGCAACTTCAAGGGGCTTTCGCCCTTTATTTGATTGAGATTTTTTGTCACAATTTAATTGAGATCAGTTTTGAACTCTTCTTCATAGTAAAGATAAGCGCTAGAAAGCCTTTACAAGCCATCGATCACTGACCATCGATCACTGATGCGTATTGGGCCTATTGGCTTTATCTAAGCTTTAAATTTGCTTTAAAAGTAACCCTAGCATCAGAATAGGACTATTGATGGTAACGGGTAAAATTGCTCTTCTCATTCTCATACCTACCTAAGCATAACCCATTTAATTTTCCAAGCAAGTCCTCCCAAACCCATTAAACCCATCCCATCTTAAATCTGTCATCAAATAAGTGAAATGTAATATTGATCTTGAACAAAAATGGTATGGTAAGCTAGTGGTGAAGGACACCTATAATGGGACATGCACGAGGGAAGGGATTTGAATCCCCTCTTATTTATTAGGGTTTGAGTATGATACCAAAAGAATTTATAACTGCAAACTAAGTGGTGGCTAAGTTGGTACTTAGTCTGAATAGTCCCAGAAGTGATGCGGTTTCGAGCCCTACTATCGGCTCCCACCACTTTAACTTTGAGAAGAATTGTAAGATTATTGTACTTTGCCAAGTTTAAATGAAATAGGGCCTCAATGATAACTTTTCTCATTATTTACAAACAAAGGTTGTTTTAATTTGTCTTTCCATTGTGAATTCGATTTATTGAAAATGGGATGTGCCTAAATCAGTCTCCCTTGTTTATTTTTGACATAGTTACACCACACTTGGCTACATAATCATATCCTTGGCTATGATCATGTTTTAGACAATTATGGTACTACCAAACTTCATAATGGGTCACACACACTTCCGTATTCCCAGGCTTTACTTCAATTTATATTCATTTGTACTTTGTTTGGTGTATAATACCTAAGCAGCCACAAACCTTATTTCACTATTAAGAAATGGTATTTTAGATAAAATAAAAAAGAGACATTTATTAAGGAAAACTATGGGGGACATAAGCTTACCTCTCAATGCAAACAATAGGGCATTTTCTACTTGACTGTTTAACAATTATGAAACCCTTACTTCCTTTTTAACAATTATGAAAGGGCATTTTCTACTTCACTGTTTTTTGATCCCTCATTGTTCTTGGGATTTATGTCAATAGATTGAACTTCCACTTCTTTATTCTACACCTCCGTGCATCCTTATGCAATTGGGATTCACATCACACTGTGTATTCGAAACATCTCCCATGAATAACAATATATAAATACAAGACATGCTGTGAGTTTTGTATAAGGAGTGCTTTGTGAGTAGCAGATTCAGACTCTTCCAAGTTGTATTTCTGTATTTGATGTTTTATAGCAACACCCCGACTAATGTCTAATCCCTTTATATCATATGAAAATACATTTTTTACTCTTTTTGTATTCCATTTGACTAGATAATTTTCTCATTGTGTCCTTTTCCTGTTATACTGTTACTCATAGGTGTGTTTGTGTGAGAGAGAGATGTTTGGACCAAATTAGAATTCAAAGTTATAATTCTGCAGGATTTCACTAATTTTTTCTTTGCCAAAGTTCACTACTCAAGATCAAAAGAATTTTCATCCTTCATATTGCTGTCAAAGATGGGGCCGAGAGTAACAAAGTAACTTCGCTTCTTTGGCTGAGGCCGATGTATCCAACTTTAGAACAAGATAGAGCACGTCAAAGGCCTTGGGTGATATCCCAAGGGCAGAGACTCCGACGGTCAAATTAGTCAGGCGTATGAGAGGGGGGTCAGACCAGGCTTGAGATAAGGGCTTAGACAAGATCACTCTAAAAAGAGAGAACTAAAAAATTGTAATGAACAAGATGCATTTACCTTTTAAGCTGGGCACCCCCTTTTATACTTGACCTTACAATGAAGTGGTCAAGGGTTGTTAAAAATAAATGGCCAAAATCTGGGCCTTGCCATATGCGCCATATCACTTCCTTTTTTCGGTAGTACTAAAGATCCAACCGTCAAGTTGCAGATTACAGAATAAAGCCGGATTAAAAAACTGAATCCTATTACACTACCCGATTACTAGCATATATATTAAAAATCTATTATGGATAATGGTACAGATTGATATTTTATTGGACTGGCCACTAATTGTAAATGGGTTTTCTTTCTAGTTTCTAGTTTCCATTAGGACCTCTCCGCCTGGTCGAGTGAATTTGAATTGAACTTGGGCGTCGAATGCAGGAATAGGTTTCTTATTGTGTGAAGGTGCAGGTATAATGAGATGGGCTGTCCTCAAAGCGCCAATATCGGACAGAGAAGGGCTAGATGGTTGATTTGTTGGGTGGGGAGAGTAAGAGAGTCGTCCAGGACTTTACCCAAATCTGATATTTTCCACAATAGATGAATAGATTAATGAAAACAGTAGATAGTAGACTTGGCAAAAAATTGACCCAGCCTGCCAAATCGACCCAACCCAATTCGAAAAAATAGGGTTAGAGTTTCATATTTAGTTACTCGAATGTGAAAACGACCCAACCCGACCCGAACCGAAAAAACTGGGTTGAGTTGGGTTGGGTCATGGGTCAATCCACCGGCCTGATTGTCAAGTCTAATTGGAATTATTTATGCATTAATAGAAGCTTCTATTCTTTAATTTTTTTCTATTTAGTCTTTACTTTTTATTGTTTAYTCTTTAAATTGCTAAATGTTCAAGTGTTTTATTTTATATTTGGAATTTTAAGGTTAATTCTTTTAATTTTGACATTTTTTATGTATTTTTTCTTTGTTTTTTTAAATTTCAATTATTTTTTGAGATGACCCGAATTGACCTATGGGTCAATCCTAACCCGAAAATTTAGGGTTAGGGTCTAACATTCGACAACCCAATCCGAAATTCAACCCAACCCGAAATCAACCTGAAATACATTGACCTAACCCGAACCCGACACACCCAACCCAATTGCCAGGTATAGTAGATAGAATACCCATTGATTGGTTATCAGATTGTTGAGTACCATACCTCTTTGGGTAAAGTCTCGGAAACTAGGAAGAGTGGCCAAGTGAAGAGGCAGACAACGTCGGAGTCACGCTAGCTAGCTCTTCCAGGGATCTGTCCAAACATGATCAGAAACGTCGACTTAGCGACCCACTTGACGCCTACTTCCGGTCCTGTACATTGTACACTGTACAGTGTTGACTTTTAACTTAATTGGATGCCAGATTGTATTTTACTTTCCTGTAGATGGCGGGTACCACAGATGAAGAACCCACCCAATTGCAATGAATCTACGGTTTCTCTACCTACCGCACTTCTGAAACCTGAGCCTCTGCCTGGAGAGAATCAAGGCCGGAATAAAAGAACCTTGTATCCATGAAACAAGACTGTAAATAAAAATCTCAATTTGTTCATGTCCTGTACCATTTGATCCTTCAGACTTCCATGATGAGGTAGCTAGCTCACCCCTCTTCTATACATTTCAAGAGTTCTATAAACAAATATAAGAATTAAGATATCAAAGTTCGAAAAGAGAAGATATAGTAAAGAAAATTTTCTACCCAGTACTACTACTACTATTGTCTCTCTAGATCTTCCACGCCATCTGCTTGCTCACAAGGTTGAATTCTCCTATCTGATCTCTCCCTACTAAGCATCCGGCGGAATGAACTCAATCGCGAGGTTGATGCACCCACCTTCGAAGCTTGAGCAGAGCTGTCAGGTGTTCCGTCTGAGCATGTTGTTATCGAATTCAAAGTGTCCATGGCTGGAGCTGATGGCGGTACTGCAACAGCAGAAGCAGCAACACTACTTGATTCACCCGACTGATCAGGCTTAGGTTGGGGTTCCGCGTCGGTGCGGCAAATTGGGCAGGTCGAGTGAGAGTCCAACCACATATCAATGCAATCAACATGGAACAAGTGCTTACAGTTGGGTAGGAGCCTGACCTTCTCTCCTCCTTCCAAGATGCTCAGACAGACTGCGCACTCTGTGGTGGTAGAGTCATTGAGCGGGTCTATTTGCTTGTAGGCGAATGTCGGTAGGGAGTCGATGACGGACTGGCCGAGCCCCCTCTTAGGTGGCTCGCGTGTGTAAGGTTGCGCGGCCACGGACATGTTGACACGACGGAGGATGGCCTGACGCCTTGCTTGGCGTCTAAGTATGCACCTGGCGTAGATGTGGAGTAGGACAACAAGGGCGACAACAACCAGTAAGGAGATTATGGCCGTGAGCATGATCTTTCCATTCATGCCCATCTGGTAGTTGTAAGGATAGTAGTTTTGATGGCCGACATCATTCTGAGAGGTGGTGGCAGACATGGTGGCTCTGATGGGGAGGGAGAGAGGGAGAGAGGGAGAGAGGGCGGAGTGAAAGAGGATGGATTGTTCAATTAGTTAGCCCCCTCAATGCCTCACTTTTAATTCATGTGGTCTGGGTTTCGCTCCTCTTTCCTCACTGTGTCTATGCGTGTTATGAAGGCTTGAAGAGGTTCCAAGAAGGGAGACTATTACAGTCTGAAACCACCTTCTCCTTTCCCAGTTGACCAAACAGGGCCTGAAATTCCTTTTGGGCCCCGTTTGGGTTTGAATATTTTGCATCTTCTATGTCCCTTCTCTTGTTTCCGTTGACCATAAGAAATAATGAACTCCCAGTACCAAATTACCATCTTAAACATGCCTAAATAATTAATGACAATAATTAAAAAAAAAAACTACTAGCGTGGGCATTGAGGTCATTCGGGTTAATGTATAGTAGAAAATTTAAAAGGTTGGGTGGGCCCAAGAAGATGGATATAATTCAACATGTGTATGAGGATTAGTGCCCAAAGAAAAGTAGAACGACTTGTCACTTGTTAGGCATGGGTGCTGATGAGCTCCGATGTGCTGACAACAATGTATTGTCTTTTAGAATTGAACAGATCGGATCAGTTGCATCCGGCATCGTAATTCGATTATGAAATCTTTAGATTTGTATTTACATCCAATTATTATATCGGATTTTAGCTTTAATTTATATTTAATATTTTAAAATAATTAAAAAATTAGTTATTTTTAATTTATATATTTGTTATAAATGTATATAAATATAAATTATTAAATTTAATATTCATAAACTTTATAAAATTATATATATATAATCATATTTTTTTATCAAACTCGGATTTTAATTGGATCAAATAAGATTAAATCCACATCCCATCTAATTATTAATTAATTGAATGCAAATTCTAATATCTAAATTCAGGATAACCAGATTTCAAATATAATCCACGGGAATTCGTTTGACAGTATATACCTTATACTGTTATACATGAAAACCAGGCTTAAACCCTGTATAAGTGAATTCACATTTGCGCCTTACAACATATCCCAACCGTATATTAAGAACATCTCCCACTGATAACTTTTAGAGATATTCCTAATAGCGCAGATCTGATCTCTCTTTAAACTTACCGCAAATCCGAGTTATAGTTAAGGGGACCTCCCCCTGCTCCCACTTGTAAGTTGTCACCGTCACGTAAGGCACATAAGACTTAGAGAGAGAGGGTGTGTTGTGGAGGATATTAATTTATGGTTTTGTCCTACAAACACGTAAGCAGGTTGTTAGAAAAAGTCTATGATGGATGACCCCAGGAATGTGAACTGAAATGGAAATGGGAGGACTGAGAGCACGAAATGGTGAAGTCAACAATGGAGACTATTTCTAAACTTTAGAGGAGGAAGGATGAAGTACGAAATCATAGCTAATCACAAAGCGCCGTATTAAATTGGGTTAGAGAAAGCAAAATTATCTTTATAATTTCTAATACTGGCATGAAGACGTCACTTCCCCTCTTGGTTAATTGCGTAAATGTTGGTTTTAGACCGTGGACCGAAAGAGAGACCCGTTGTTATTGGAATGGGGCCCTCTACTCTATTTAACCATTGGATTTGTGGTGATGGATTAAGACTAGTGGGGCCCTCTCGTTAGTGATGTAGCTGGGTTGTGATTATAATTACTTAATTAGGGGTGTAAGCTGACTCGAATCGACTAGTATTGGGTTATTCAACGTCGATTCGATTTAAAAATGATCGAATTTCAAATTTTCTATGTTTACTTTCGATTCTATTATAACTGATAAGTGTAATTTTTGGATTTTATTATTAATAAAAATAATTTTTAGAATAGGGTAAATTTTTTTAAAAAATTATCAAAAAAGGGTAGAAATATTGTTCATCTTCTTACTCCTTCAAACCATCGAATAAATCTMCTCACATTCGATCTTTATCTTTCTTTTTCCTCCTCCTCCTTTCAATGGCCACGAAAGAGTTTCATTGTCGCTTCCTGAACCCTTTGCCCTCCTTTTGGATCCACCTCTATGTCCAAGATCGTTGGAACCCTTTGCTTCAGATCCTTGGAAGCTTCATCACCGGAACCCTCTACTTCAGACCCTTGGCCATGAAAGAGCTCCTGTTATGAGTCAAAACACTGTTAGAAGAACTGAGATCGGCAATAGGCATAGTTCCACGAGTCTCGACAACCTCTATGTCATCTTCGCAGAGAATGAGAATGGCAATGATCTCGATTTGGTGAGGAGCCAGGGACTCGAGTCGGCGTCTCTGCTCGCGTTGATAAAGGGGAACGTGACTTTCTAGAGCTTGCAACACTGGTTTGAGAATGGATTCGTTCATCCAAATCTAGTTTGTTGAGCTCTGGAAGGTGGACAAATGGACTCGTTCGTCTCCGTTCACATTTATTGGTATGGCTACTCGAGCCGGCATCCCTAGCTACTCACAAGATTCATGTGTTCTTCTAAGAAGCATAGCAGCTCTACTACAAACTCAGATGCAGAGAAGAAGAAGAAGTAGAAGATGAAAGAAGAGGAAGAAGAAGGAGGAGGAGGAGGAAAGAGAAAGATAGAGACCAGAGGTGGGGAGATTTATTCGGTGGTTTGAAGGAGGAAGAAGATGAGCAGTGTTTCTACCCTTTTTATATATATATATTTTTTAAAAAGTTGCCCTATTTTAGAAATTATTTTAAAAAGATTATTTTTATTGATAATAAGACCCAAAAGTTGCCTTTATCAACCATAATCCCTTGATTTTATTCGAGTTGAGTTCGAGCTTTTAGCAAATTGAACTCGAAATAGATGTGTCAGGTTAGGGTTGTTTATAAGATTGATCAAATCTATGAACTTTACCCAATTTGATCCAAATTGGTTGGTATTCAATTATTTTCGGTCAGCTTCAATTCATGCATTATATTAATCAGAGAGGTTGGGTTAGTCTTGGTTTGGCCCTTTGTTGTTTTAAATATATATATATATATATATATATATATATATTATCTAATCAAACCATGTTTCCTAATAGCAATTGATTAAATAAAAAAACTGATCTAGACCATATAACCTGAATTGGCCGATTTTCATAATGGTCGATTGGTTTTAGGTGACCAATTTTTGAATCCAATCAAGTCGATTTAGTTGACCAAACAACTTGCAACCGAATCGAATTGACCCATAAACACCCCTAAACAGATTAAGTAGGAAATCAGATCAGCACTGACTCAATCTTATTGATCTAGGATTATGTCAGCTTAATTGGAYTAGCTAAACCTGTGCCAAACGTGGGACAAATCCATGAAAAGATTCAAGCCAAATCTCGATACGCACATCTTCGGTTAGGTTCAGGTTGAGCCAAACCCGTGCCGAAGCCAAACCACTCACATCTTTAATCAATATTATGCAGGATCCCATTTGAATAAACATCGTTTATTCAAGGAAGGGTGAACCAGTTAGTAGTGGACTCCCAAACCCTTTCTTCACGCCTGTCCTCGTGAAAAGGTTTCTCTAACGCTTAGAATTTAGATGGTACTCTGTGATTAGAGGTGTAAATTGGTCCGTGCTAGGCTTGGTACGATTGTGTGGGCCGTGTTGGGCCTGGGGTTTTAGGTCCGCGAGCCAGGCCATCACGACACAATCGAGCGGGCCAGGCTACCCACGGCCCACATGCTGGCACAATCCATATATATTATTTATATATAATATAATATATTATACAAATTATAATTATATAATAATATATATTATATAATATATTAATAGAATAAGCAATTGTATACATCAAAATTCATATAAAATTAAAAATTTAAGTTTTTTTTTAATTTTTAAATAAATAGCTTTAGCCCGGCCCACGACATGGCATGACACAGGCCCACATAGGCTTGGGCCGTGGGCCATGCCAGGCTGACCCCCCAAGTTCTCCCAATGGAGGATGGCATGGCCCGAAACGGCCCACATTTTGCATGAGCCACTTGCAGAGTAAAGAAATCAAAGACTTGGTTTGGTTTAAAGGCGTGTATAAATATTACTAAATAAATATACAAGAACCATCTTTTATCAATCAAATATACAAGAACCATCTTTATCTGTTTAATTTGCCTAATAACAGCAGTAATAGGGAACAATTGGGGTGGGGACTGTGGATCAATCTGGGAAGGTCTGATTTGGGAATCACAATTCACAAACCAATCTATTACCAACCTATTACAGATTGTTGGGATGGGGGGAGGAATTTTTTTATCCTATTTTTAGTGAGTTTTCTTTTTAGTAGTGAAAATGGGAAAAATCATCAAGGGTCCCTTTGTTTTGGATTTTGAGAGGAGAGAAAGTTGGTTAATATGATTTGGGTTTTCATTGATCAAGAAACTTATATTTGTTTTTCAGATTTATGTAGGGTTCATAAAAACTTTATTTTCCCTAGACATTATTTACTTGGGTAACTGATACCTATCTCTCAGATGAATAAAGAACGGGAAAATCTCTAATATGGTATGAAAAGAGTTTTAACCAATCAAAACTCACTCATGAATTTTGATGAATAACACCTGATTGACTACCACGTTTATGATTCCAGTTAACTGGTCATAAGTTTTTTATATATCATATATTTTCTATATCATAATCGAACTCATAAATAACTTTCATATAGGGGGAAAGCTGTCAATACTTTGATAAGATAAAATTTCCTCTTTTAGTAATGAATTTTTATGACTTAAATGTTATTATGTTATTTACCTAGAAAATAAAAGAACATTGATAACTAGCTTACCGAAAAGTGAATTAAGCCCAAACGAAATCATTGAAAATACTTCTCTAAATACAAACCACACCTTCTCGATTTTCAAGGCATAGCTTAGAGCACTATTTTTATGAAAAAATAGTTCCAAATGTATTAACATTTCCTGGAGCACCGAGTTTTCCAATAAAATGCTGATGTATCACCATTTTCTGGAGTAACGACATTAATGCCAAACAGACCAAAACTCCTTTTATCAAAAATGTACATTGATCTATGATGTTTTGGAGAGATTCTAAGTGCACCTCTTGATTCTATGTCAAAACCATGGATTGAGATATTCATGGTTTTGGAATCTCTCATGTGAACATATTTGGATTAAAACTTTGAAAG